CAGAGGGGAAGGTCTCTGGGCTGTTCCCCAACCCACATGGTGAATCTGAGGCAAGAAAATCCGCCAATAAACGCAGGACCCACCAAGATAGAGGAGGAACTTTGTCACATTACCTATAGATCTTAAAGTAAGAAACCATTTTGCAAAACTTGTGTTGCCATTGTTGACTTAACTAATGCAAAAGTTTTGTTTTTCTACTGCAGTAGACCTCCGTAAAGCCTGCTCTTCAAGAGAATTTAGGAAACTTGGTAAAATTACTACACCTCTACCCCGATATAACGCGGTCCTCAGGAGCCAAAAATCCCTACCGCGTTATAGGTGAAACCCCGTTATATCGGGGTAGCGGCGGCAGGGCTCCAGCGGTGATTTAAAGGGCCCTGGGCTCCCCGCAGCAGCCGGAGCCCCGGGCCCTTTAAAGCGCCACACGAGCCCCGCTGCCTGAGCCCCGGGGTTACCACGCTATATGGGAACCCGTGTTATATCGGGTCGCGTTATATCAGGGTAGAGGTGTAGTAGCTGAAAAAAATGCTGCAAGCCTACTTTTAAAATATAGTAACTGTTCTGCCTTAAACTGTTTAAAAATGTAATTCTGGTAAGTGGCAAACTGACTGTTGTAGTACTGAGGTTTTAAACAATAAGTGAGGTAAGGAGGCTGCTACGGCAACATAGAGCAATGGTTCCCAAACCATGCTCTGTGATGCTCTTCCATTCACCCACAGAGCTGCTTCTGCCAGTGGTGAAGCATCTATCAGTCTTCACGAAGTGATGTTTCCTGCTACCATGTATCCCCAGTGTGGCACTCTCTAAGGGTTTCCAGAGACTACCTGAACAACTAAAGTTTAAAAAAATGCTTCATGCCTTTTTGGGATACTTGGTTTTGGTAAAACTTTTAACCACAGTAAGATTTGTAGACTATAAAATGGAAGAATGACAAACACGAGAAGAGAAACAATCTGGTCTGGGGAGATGACAGTAGTAGGGTCTACAGGTAACAACGGATGTTTCTGTAAGTACACACACAGAACTTAAAGGGCTGGTCTATACTGGGAACTTACATCGGCATAGCTACATCTCTCAGGGGTGGCAAATCCACTCCCCTGAGATACACAGCTATGCTGACCTGACCCCTGGTGTAGACAGCACTAGGTTGATGGAAGAATTCTGGCGACCTAACTACTGACTCTCAGGCTAAGGGCTACACTACACACTTCCTTCAGTATAACTATCTCACTCAGGGGTATGAAAAATCCACCCCCCTGAGCAATGTAATTATACTGACCATAATCCCCATGTAGACAGCGCTATGTCAGCAGGAGAGCTTCTCCCGCTGACATAGCTATCACCTCTCATGGAGGTGGAGTTATTAGAGCATCTTCACCAGAAGCGCTACAATGGCCATAAGTGAGGTGGATAACCTATACTGATAGGAGAACTCCTCCCATCAGCATAGGTAGTGTCTACACTCAAGAACTACAGCAGAACAGCTGCAGCTGTGCCACTGTAGCGGTTTAAGTGTAGACGTACCGGGAAGAGTAAATAAACAGCACAGTTATAAAACTGCAGGAAGAAGATAGGAGGAAGGAAGTCGGTAAGCAAGTTTATTTTCATCTTCTTTCCTCAATATTGCCCTAGTATTACTTTAGTCAAGCCCTAGAGTTGTCACAAGGAATGTTCAGAATTAGTATTGGGAAAGAACGTAGTCTGTGAGAATATTTTCTATTTTTAAAATACTTACATAATATGGATTACTAATAGATATATTCAATATAGCGTAGAGTAGGGGTCCCCAACACGGGGCCCGCCGGGGCATCTAAGTGCGCCCGCGTACTGGCCGGCGGACGAGCATCTGCCGAAATGCCGCTTGAGAAGCAGCGTCATCCAGAGGCGTCACCGCCGAAATGCCGCCGACGCCTCTGGATGACGCTGCTTGTCAGCGGCATTTCAGCGGCAACGCCTATTGACATTGCCGCTTGTCGGCGGCATTTCGGCAGATGCTCGTCCGCTGCCACGGTCCTCCGTGGCTCGCCGTCTGGTGCCTGCCAGACAAAAAAGGTTGGAGACCACTGGCGTAGAGTTTCCTTTACCTTGAAAGCTGCACCACTCAATGAAACAACTTACATTCAACATTCTCTGGAAATTTTCTGTGTATCTCCTTATATGTATCTAGAGCTTTTTGGTAGTTACCTGCAAACAAAATAAACAACATCACACACACACGCATGTACAATGGCACAGTATCAGACCAGAAACTGATGTGACTCGGTAACTTCCAGCTTTTTTCAGCTGCTTTATTTTTAAGAGTATGTGGTTTAATAATCCTAGATCACAACTGATACAGTTAAAGTTGGCATTCTTTAATTATTACTTGACTATAATAATTAAGGTTGGTTGTGAACAGCTGAAAAAAAATTCAAACGTATTTTTTTTATATGATGGGTGGGGCTCAAACTGTCCTACCAGCACATTCCAATTCATACTGGGGATTTTCCCAGCATATCTAATGAACATAATGGTGGCCAAGCTGTCTTGCTCCTTTGCTGGGAAAGCTCTTCTGTGCTGGATTTTGGTTGGGTGCTGACTTTATCTTTCAATTCACATAGTCACCCAGCTTCTATTCCCCCATCCCATAGAATCAGGTAACTGGGCAAACAACATAAGAAAATCTGCAAATTTGTCATTCGGTTCTTCTCTGTGAAGCTCTAAAGGAGCAAGGGAAAGAGTGGGAACAATGGGACAGCATGAAAGAAAAGTATTATTTATTAAAATATCTTAAGTGTGTTTTGGTGCTGAACAATACAAAGAGGAAGACACGGTCTCTGTCCCAGTGTGGTTATGATCAATAGCAGATTCAGATTGTAGCATCCCAGTTATAAAATTCAGCAGGTGAGAGCTCAGTCTCGAAGTGGCAGTGTGTATTCTGTTTGTACAATTTAAATTTTCAATTTTTTTTAATATCTAGAAATTGTACCCACTACATATATTGTAAATGTGGTCGGTTCAGCTGAGCAACTCTAGAAACTTCCCACTTGGCTATTGTGACATCATATGGTGCTCTGACATAAATCAAATACAATATGACTATTTACACTAGTTTGGCCTCTTCTCTTTACTTGCACAGGACTGCTCCACTCATAAGTACAAGACAGTACAAAGAGGAGTAATTAAATCCAGAACTTCAAGGAAGGTAATGCTTTGTTACACAGAAAATTCACAAAGCACAAGCATGCTACAGGCTAAGGAGATTTTAGAACCAAGAAAAAACGGTTACTCACCTTTGTAACTGTTGTTCTTCGAGATGTGTTGCTCATATCCATTCCAATTAGGTGTGCGCGCGCGCCGCGTGCACGATCGTCGGAGAATTTTCTACCCTAGCAACACCCGGTGGGTCGGCTGTGGAGCTCCCTGGAGTGGCGCCTTCATGGCGCTGGATATATACCCCAGCCGACCCAGCACCCCTCAGTTCTTTCTTGCCGGCTACTCCGACAGTGGGGAAGGGGGGCAGGTTTGGAATGGATATGAGCAACACATCTCGAAGAACAACAGTTACAAAGGTGAGTAACCGTTTTTTCTTCGAGTGCTTGCTCATATCGATTCCAATTAGGTGACTACCAAGCCTTACCTAGGCGGTGGGGTCGGAGTGAGACATCGCTGAGTGCAGAACCGCTGATCCAAATGCAGCATCATCTCTGGACTGCTGTACAAGCGCATAGTGAGCGGCGAAGGTGTGGACCGATGACCAAACCGCCGCTCTACAAATGTCCTGGATCGGGACGTGAGCCAGGAAGGCAGTTGAGGAGGCTTGGGCCCTGGTGGAGTGGGCGGTGAGGTGCAGCGTCGGGGCACTGGCCAGGTCGTAGCAAGCACGAATGCAGGACGTGATCCAAGAGGAGAGAGGTTGCGAGGAGACCGGTAAGCCTTTCATCCGGTCGGCCACTGCAACGAAGAGTTGCGTTGTCTTCCTAAACGACTTTGTACGCTCAATATAGAAAGCCAGGGCCCTGCGTACGTCCAAGGAGTGCATACGCTGGTCTTGACGCGCGGCGTGCGGCTTAGGATGGAAGACCGGGAGAAATATATCCTGGTTCACATGAAAAGCTGATACCACCTTGGGAAGAAAGGCAGAGTAGGGGTGAAGCTGCACCTTGTCTTTATGGAAGACTGTGTATGGAGGCTCAGATGTGAGCGCCCTGATTTCAGAAACACGCCTTGCTGAAGTGATGGCTACAAGGAAGGATGTCTTCCAAGATAGGTAAAGGAGTGAGCAGGTAGCCAATGGCTCGAACGGGGGCCCTGTGAGCTTGGAGAGAACCAGGTTAAGATCCCACGCCGAAACCGGTTGACATTGCTGTGGGTATAGACGGTCTAAGCCCTTGAGGAATCTGACGACCATCGGGTTAGAGAAGACCGAGGAAGCGTGTTCTCCTGGGTGGAACGCCAATATAGCAGCCAGGTGAACCCTGACCGAAGATATCGCCAAGCCCTGCTGTTTTAGGGATAGGAGATATTCAAGTATAAGCGGAATTGACGCCTGCAAGGGGGGCGTGGCCCGCTGCTCGCACCAACAGGAGAAACGCTTCCACTTGGCCAAGTAAGTGGTCCGTGTAGAGGGTTTCCTACTTCCCAGCAGAATCTGTTGCACGGGATGTGAGCATCGTAGTTCTGTCCGATTCAGCCATGGAGCATCCACGCTGTAAGGTGGAGCGATTGTAGGTCGGGGTGACAGAGTCGGCCGTGGTCTTGAGAGATCAAGTTCTGGCACAATGGAAGCATGATCGGAGTCTATACCGATAGCTCCAGAAGCGTGGTGTACCAGTGCTGTCTTGGCCAAGCTGGAGCGACTAGAATCATATGTGCCTTGTCTCTGCGTAGCTTGAGCAATACCCTGTGGACCAGTGGAAATGAAGGGAAAGCGTAGAACAGCTGGTCTTTCCACGATAGCAGGAAAGCGTCCGACAGGGAGCCTGGAGATCGCCCTTGGAGGGAGCAGAACACGTGGCACTTCCTGTTGGCGTGTGAGGCGAACAGGTCAACCTGGGGAAATCCCCACCTCTGGAAGATGGAATGGATGATATCCGGACGAATCGACCACTCGTGCGTCTGGAAGGATCTGCTGAGACGGTTTGCTAGAGCGTTCTGGACTCCAGGTAGGAACGATGCCATGAGATGTATCGAGTGGGCAATGCAGAGCTCCCACAGGCGAATGGCCTCTTGGCATAGGAGAGACGACCGGGCTCCTCCTTGCTTTTTGATGTAGAACATGGCCGTGGTGTTGTCTGTGAGGACTGACACGCAACGGCCATGTAGGAGACCGAGAAATGCCTGACAGGCTAGGCGCACCGCCATCAGCTCTTGAACATTGATGTGCAGAGCTAGTTGGGATGCGGTCCACAGGCCCTGTGTATGGTGCTCCCCAAGGTGAGCGCCCCAACCTAGAGATGAAGCGTCCGTGACCAGGTACAGGAAGGGTTGTGGGGCGTGAAACGGTACTCCTGCACAAACCGCCTTGTGGTCCAGCCACCAGGTGAGAGAGGTCAAGACCGAGTTCGGAACCGTGACCACCATGTTCAGGTTGTCCCGATAAGGACGGTACACCGATGACACCCAGGCCTGAAGTGGGCGAAGCCGAAGTCTGGCATGCCTGGTTACGTAAGTGCAAGAGGCCATGTGTCCCAACAGGCTGAGGCACGTCCTTATCATGGTAATTGGCAAGACCTGGAGTCCGTGGATGATGTTTGTGATGGTGTGAAACAGAGTGTCTGGCAGAAGAGCTCGGGCGAGTCTGGAGTCTAAGACTGCCCCGATAAACTCTATTCTCTGGGTTGGCTCCAGAGTGGACTTTTCTTTGTTGAGTAAGATGCCTAACTCGTGGAATGTTTGTAGTGTTATCTGGACGTGGGCTTGAACTTGCTCCCTTGTGTGGCCGTGCACCAGCCAGTCGTCTAGATACGGGTACACCTGTATCCTTTGTCGATGAAGGTATGCTGCCACGACAGCCAGACATTTGGTGAACTCTCTCGGAGCCATGGACAAGCCGAAGGGAAGGACGGCAAATTGGTACTGCACGTTGTTTACTACAAATCGAAGGAAGCGCCTGTATGGAGGGTAGATTGCTATATGAAAATATGCGTCCTTCATGTCGAGGGCGGCGTACCAGTCTCCAGGATCCAGGGAAGGGATGATGGTCCCCAAGGAGACCATGCGGAACTTCAACTTTACTATGAATTTGTTGAGTCTGCGTAAATCTAAAATGGGTCGCAGACCCCTTTTGCCTTGGGGATCAGGAAGTAGCAGGAGTAAAACCCCCTGCCCCTTAACTCTGATGGAACCTCCTCTATGGCCCCCATAGAAAGGAGCCCAAAAACCTCCTGTGTAAGGAGATGCTCGTGAGAAGGGTCCCTGAAGAGGGATGGAAAGGGGGTTGGGGGGGGGAAACGAAGAAAACTGGAGAGCGTATCCCCTCTCCACCGTGCGAAGGACCCAACGGTCCGAGGTTATAAGGGACCAAGCACGGTGGAAACGGGAGAGGCGATCCCGAAATAAAGGGAATGGATCCTGGGTAGTGGCTAGTACGCCGTCCTTGAGCGCACCTTCAAAAATTTTGCCTAGGCCCTGAAGGTGGTCTAGGAGGGCCTTGGTTCTGACCGGGTTGGGGGCCGGTCGACCTCCTTCTACCACCTCACCCCCGCCTTCTGGGGAAGTCGTGTCTTGGACGAGGAGCAGGAGGGTAGAACCTCTGTGGCTGGGGCCTAAAGGGCCTGCGCTGGGGTCCTGGGACATGCATCCCCAGGGAGCGCATGATGGTTCTGGAGTCCTTGAGACTCTGCAATCGAGAGTCCGTCTTGTCCGAGAACAACCCTTGGCCCTCGAATGGCAGATCTTGCAGGGTCTGCTGCAGTTCTGGCGGTAAACCCGATACCTGAAGCCAGGAGACGCGTCTCATGGCTATCCCAGACGCTAGTGTCCTGGCGGCAGAGTCCGCTATGTCCAGGGAGGCCTGTAAGGAGGTCCTAGCCACCTTTTTACCTTCCTCCACTAGGGCCCCAAACTCCTCTCTCGAGTCCTGGGGGACCAACTCTTTAAATTTACCCATGGAATTCCATGAGTTGTAATTGTACCGACTCAAGAGCGCCTGTTGGTTTGCGGCTCTGAGCTGCAGACCTCCCGCTGAGTAAACCTTACATCCAAACAAATCGAAGCGTTTGGCGTCCTTCAATTTGGGTGCTGCCGCCTGCTGACCGTGGCGCTCTCTTGCGTTCACTGAGGAGACTACTAGTGAACACGGCGGACGGTGTGTGTAGAGGTACTCATGGTTTCGGGGGGGACAAAGTACTTCCTCTCTCTACAGCTCTGGCAGTGGGAGGGATGGAGGCCGGGGTTTGCCATATGGCATTAGCGTTAGCCTGGATTGTGCGAATAATGGGCAACGCCACCTGGGATGGGGCATCAGCTGAGAGGATGCTCACCACCGGGTCCTCCACCTCCACTATCTCCTCTGCCTGTAGGTCCATGTTCTGTGCCACCCTACGTAGCAGGTCTTGGTGGGCACGGAGGTCTACTGGAGGTGGGCCTGAGGTTGTTGTGCCCGCCACCGCCTCATCTGGGGAAGATGAGGAAGACGCCTCAGGGGGTAAAGGATCCAGAGGTGGGTCCGGCTGCAAGGGTCCCTGATGTGCAGGATCCCCTGCACCGGGGTCTGGGACCTGCGTGGGTGTTGGCACAGGAGCCTCCATGCTCCCTGGGGGAGGACGGGTGATGATGGCCTCAGGTACCCTGGGCTCAGAGTGTGCCGAGCGAGAGGCCGCTGGTGGAGCCCCTTGTGCCTGGTGATATGCCCATGGGGTCCAGAAAGACCAATGTGCAGGGTCCTGTCTAGGGTCCTCTGCCCCCTCCTGCCAATGGCCCAAGTCGTCCACAGCCTGACCCTGAGCAGGGTATGCTGATAGGGAGGCCCCTTCCTACGAATGAGACGCCGATCTTGAGGGCCAGGGTGGTGCCGAGCGTGATTGCAGAGGCTCGTCCTGGAACGGTGCCGAGCGGTGCCGGTCCACAGGCGAGCGGTCTCTGCATGGTGCTGGGAAGCGGAACCGGGATCGAGAACGGTGCCGATGGCCATGCCGGTACCAGGATCCCGATCTGGATCGCGAAGACGAAGACCGTCTGTAGACTCGGTGCTGGGAGCGGCCTCGCGAACGGGAGCGCCGCTCATACCGGTGCCGGGAACTGCGTCTGGACTCTGACCGGTACCAATGCTCGGGTCGGTGCCGAGAAGTGGACCGGTGCCGGAAGATCTGGGCCACGAGTACGACCGGCGCCGAGATGAAGACTGGTACCGGGACTGCGAGCGGCGTCGGGACCTGCTCCTAGACCCGGAGCCGTGCCGCGAGTCCACGCTCGGAGATGGAGGGCGTATCAGGGCAGGCTTGCCTCTGGATTGCACTGTTCAGAGCCGATGCAGTGCCGCGGCCTGAGATGGCGCCGGCTCGGTGAGGGCGATGAGGTCCTTCGCCGTCGCAAATGTCTCCGGCGTAGAGGGGAGACAGGGCTCAACCACAGGACGAGGCGGGGAGCCAGTCTGCACCGGACTCAACGGCCCTACAACTGGTGCCGGAGTCAACGCTGCCTGCACCCTCTGGTGCTCCGAAGCCGGACGCGACTCCACCACCGGTTCGGGGGGAGCCGGTGCCTGTTGTACAGCAGTGTCCTAGGTCTTACGGGGTCTTTTATGTCCCGGAGACGGGGAACGGCGCCGAGGGGCTTGCGGCAGATGCGGTGCCGACGGAGGACGGTGCTGTGGGGCCTTATCCGCGTCTCCTCGTGGTGCAGTACCCGAGGGCGCCGCCGGGGTGCTGCGCACCGAGGTGCTCGGTGCCGGAACTTGGCGCGCCGAAGGAGGATCTGGGCTAAGTGCCGCCTCCATAAGGAGCTGCTTAAGTCTAAAGTCCCACTCCTTTTTGGTCCTGGGCCTGAAAGCCTTGCAGATCTTACACTTGTCCGTCTGGTGAGACTCCCCTAGACACTTCAGACAAGAGTCGTGAGGGTCTCCCGTTGGCATAGGCTTAGCACAGGTCACGCATGGCTTAAAGCCAGGAGCCTTGGGCATAAGCCCGGCTGCGCACCAGGGGAAAAAAGGGGGGGATAAAAGCCCCCTTTACCCCCGCTAACTATTTATAACTACTCTATAAAACTATTAACAACAAAACTAATATCTACAAGAACTAACGAGTAAAGCTAGGGAGAGTGGAGAACAGCTATGCCGCGCTCCACAGTTCCAACGACCGTCATGGGCGGTAAGAAGGAACTGAGGGGGCGCTGGGTCGGCTGGGGTATATATCCAGCGCCATGAAGGCGCCACTCCAGGGGGCTCCACAGCCGACCCACCGGGTGTTGCTAGGGTAGAAAATTCTCCGACGATCGTGCACGCGGCGCGCGCACACCTAATTGGAATCGATATGAGCAAGCACTCGAAGAAGAACTCATCGAGCAGATGTACAAAAGATCAGTAGATAAAAATTCAAAATTTATAAAGTAAAAAAAATATCAATTATAAAAAAAAATCACAGAACAAGTAGAAACACTTACCACTTCTTCTGTAACAACTAGCAACCATCAATTGCCATTTCACTTGTGTTGGTCTATGTATAAATAAATAAAAACATTTAGTATACAGTACTAGTAAATGATGAAATAGTTCTGTGAAGTTCAAAGTATTGGTGTAAATCCACTATTAAACCAGTCTCACAAAATTCTACTTGTCGCTCACTCCGGGTGAATCCTTTCTAGGAAGGGCACATAAACTAACAGCATTTTTTCATTATTAGCAAGTTAAAAGATAATAAACATATAGCTATGTGTGGGCTGGTAAGTTGCCATGTCAATTCTTCAAAGCTGACCGAAACCATATGTGGAAAGCTCTTTGGACTGTATAGTCCTGTCTGATTGCTAATATGTCCTAGAAGCAGGGGCGGCTCCAGGCACCAGCACAGCAAGCACGTGCCTGGGGCGGCAAGCCGCAGGGGGCAGCCTGCCGGTTGCTATGGGTGCGGCAGCAGTCAGGCGGCCTTCGGCAGCATGCCTGCAGGAGGTCTGCCGGTCCTGCGGTTTCGGCGGAAGCCGCGGGACCCTCAGATCACCCACAGAAACGCCACCGAATCCGCGTGACCGCGGACTGACCGCAGGCATGCCGCCGAAGGCCGCCTGACTGCCGTGCTTGGGGCGGCAAAAAACATAGCGCCGCCCCTGCCAAGAAGATATTGCATTCTAACAATTTGTAGGGAGGCTTCTCTAGTGGAAATCTAGCATTTTTCTTTACCTTCCTGGCTGTACTGTTCATCCATTATTTATTTATTTATTTTATTCAACCACAGGTCAAGCCAATTTGATCTCCAAATAATGTCTCTATTTGTTTGCAGTCTAGTGTTCTGCAAAATAAGCTTATGTAAGACAAGTCTGCTGCATATTTCTCAGTTGCAGCACGTGTGCCTGCTGCACACAGCAATGGAATCCAGGTGAGCACCTAACACACCTCGATTGTAATAAAAATTATTAGTAGGCAACTTTAGGGTTACCATATTTCCTCATTAAAAAAGGAGGACACTCCACAGGGCCCTGGCCACGCCCCAACTCCGCCCCTTCCCTGCCCCAACTCTGCCCCTTCCCCAAAGTCCCCGCCCCCTCCCCTGAGCACCCCACATTCCCCCTCCTTCCTCCCAGCCACGAAACAGCTGCCCGAGCACTACCGGCTTCACGGTTTGCCAGGCAGCCCCCAGACCTCCAGACCCTGCCCCCGGCTGGGCGCTTCCCCAGCACAGCCGGAGCCCGGGAGGGGAAGCGCCATCCTAACTGGCCCCCTAGGACTCTATCCCCTACCTGTCCCCTGACTGCCCCCTCCTGAGACCCTCCCCCCATCCTAACTGGCCCCCTAGGATCCTACCCCCTACCTGTCCCCTGACTGCCACAACCCTTATCCACACCCCCACCCTCAGACAGACACCAGGGACTCCCACGCCCCATCCAACCACTCCCCACCCCACCCAGAACTCCTGACCCATCTAAACCCCTCTGCTCCCTGTCCCCTGACTGCCCCGTCCTGGGACCCCTGCTCCTAACTGCCCTCCAGAACGCCACCCCCTACCTAAGCCTCCCTGTTCCTTGTCCCCTAACTGCCCCCTCCTGAGACTCCCCCACCCTAACTGCCCCCCTAGGACCCTACCCCCTACCTGCACCCTGACTGCCCCAAACCTTACACCCCCAACCCCCAGACAGCCCCCCCGAACTCCCGACCCATCCAACCCTCCCCCTGCTCCCTGTCTCTTGACTGCCCCCTTCAGAACCTCCCTGCCCCTTCTCCGACCCCCTGGCCCCCTTACCGTGCCGCTCAGAACAGCGTGTCGGGCTCCACGCGCAGCCCGACACGCTGCCGCGCTCCCCCATGGAGCGCATAGCCCAGTTCCCGCCCTCGCAGAGTGCTGCTGGGCAGGGGGAGGAGCTCCAGACTGCCGGAGGCCCGTTGTGAGCAGCCAGCCGGCTGCGAATGCAGGGAGGGGGAGGGAGGGAGAAAGAGGAGGGGAGTGATCTCAGCTGCAGGGGAGAGGAGTGGGAAGCGGAGGAGGGGCTCTCTCTGGCTGCCAAAGCCCCATGCAAGTGGCACCATCCGGCCGGCTGCCCTGTCAGCCGCGCGCACTCTGCATGGGGGGGGAGGAGGGAGGCCGGACATTTACAAATTCCCCCCGGATGCTATTTTTAACTGAGAAAAGCCGGACATGTCCGGGGGAATCCGGACGAATGGTAACCCTAGGCAACTTGGTATGAAAATCCTACATTTTTAGGGCAAAGAATTAAGCTCCACAACTCCTACTACTGTTTGAATTGCATATGTTGCTAAAATTTGCCCATGCAAGCTTCTCAAAAACACAATTCTCAATTCATTTCAAAATACATCTTAAAATGCAAGTTAAAGGGGGTGATTTAAATATAAAATATCACTGAATGATTGGAATTAATATTCCACTAAAACAGAATTGAGAACTGGGGATCGGGGTTGAGGCTAAGTTATCATTTAAATGTCATTTTATTTACAATCAGCATAATAACAGCTGTTTAATTATTGTGGCATATTTTTAGGATTAACAACTTGCAAATAGCATGTACAAGTTTTAGCGCCAAACAAGCTCCCAAATATTTATGTTCTGTTAGCTATAATTAACAATCTCCTCTCCTGGAAAATGAATTCTCACAGATACTGTAATTACACAGAAAAATAAAGAATTTCAGAGGTTAATAATTCACAGATACTTTTCAATCCATATGCAATACACAAAGTTTCATGCATTGAGTGGTTAGAGAATTAGGCCTTAAACGTTTAGGTCTGTGCCAGAAGAAGATTATGAAATCAGTATGAATTTTTTCTAGTTTCAGCTGTGTTCTTTCCAGTGTTTTAAAATGGGCTAAGAGTGCCAACATACGTGATCCAAGAGCCTGACTGCATTACAAATTTTTAAGGGGTTGGCAGCTTCATTGAACAGCATGATAGCAAGTCTTTAAATCAGTGTTTCACAAATATTTTCACTGGTTTGTCTCCATTTTTTAAAGCTATTTATTTTATAAAAGAAGCCAATGGGTTGGGAATTTCCTGGTAGTAAATGACTAGTTGGAGAAATTGAGGCCTGAGGCAAACAACAAGACTTCAGTTACCAAGAAATGTCCAATGCTGAAGATGCCATTTTGATTAACATTGTTTCCTTCCCCTTTCTGTGTCTGTCGTGTCTAGAGCTGCATGCTGCTGCTGCATTTGTTTTTGTTTACAGTACCAATCCTTTCCTTACAATTAATAACAAGCACAGTAACCAGTGAGAAAGCAGAACTTCATTTTGAGCATTTTACTAGAATTTAATTTCAATTATTTTTAGACTTTCTATATAGTAGTATATGTTAGTAAATGGGGCTTTAAATACAAGGAACTTCCCATGTGGACCTGACTGCAAGGACAAAGGGGATAATGGAATATTTCTATAAATTACTTTAACTATTCATTTCTATATTTAATGTTTGGGATTCTTTTGTAATTGTAATTTTCTTGTTATAAAGTTTGTAGAAGAGTCATATAAATATACTGTCTCAATCTTAACTACAAGATGAAAGGTTTTTGCTGATGACTTTCATTATTATTTGTAAAGGAAAAGTTGACAGATGGTTCTTGTATGTCATCCTGGAGATGGTGAGATTTCAGGTCATTCTGGTCTTATGAGGAAGGAAGTACCCAACAGTAGTGGGCCAGCCAAGAAAGCTGTCTCCATTTCTCATGAATTGTGGAGCTATGGTGGACGTCCTAGTCATGGGGATAAAGGTGGTTGTTAGGTAGCTGAGGGTATGTCTACACTGTGAAATTAGGCTGATTTTATAGAAGTCAATTTTTAGAAATCGATTTTATACAGTTGATTGCGTATATCCACACTAAGCGCATTAAGTCAGTGGCTAGCATTGACTTACGGAGCGGTGCACTGTGGGTAGCTATCCTCCAGTTCCCGCAGTCTCCGCCGCCCATTGGAATTCTGGGTTAAGCTCCCAATGCCTGATGGGGCAAAAACATTGTCGCGGGTGGTTTTGGGTACATGTCGTCAGTAGCCCCTCCCTCCGTGAAAGCAACGTCAGACAATCGTTTCACCCCTTTTTTCCTGTGCAGACACCATACCATGGCAAGCATGGAGCCCGCTCAGCTCAGCTCACTGTCACCGCTGCTGTCGTGTCCTGGGTGCTGCTGTCAGCAGACGGTGCAGTAGGACTGCTAACCGTCGTCATCCACCGCTTCCGCTGCAACTCTGCTCTCCTGCTTTCCTGCAGATGCCATACCACGGCAAGCATGGAGCCCACTCAGCTCACAGTCACCGCTGCTGTTGTGAGCATTGTAAACACCTCGTGCATTATCCTTGAGTATATGCAGAACCGGGCTAAGAGACGCCAGCATGAGGAGGATTTTGATGAGGACATGGACACAGATGTTCCTGAAAGCACGGGCTGTGGCAATTGGGACATCATGGCAGCACTGGGGCTGGTTGATACAGTGGAACGCCGATTCTGGGCCAGGCAAACAAGCACAGACTGGTGGGACCGCATAGTGTTGCAGGTATGGGATGATTCACAGTGGCTGTGAAACTTTCACATGCATAAGGCCACTTTCCTGGAACTCTGTGAGTTGCTTTCCCCGACCCTGAAGTGCAGGAATACCAAGATGAGAGTTGCCCTGACAGTTGAGAAGCGAGTGGCGATAGCCCTGTGGAAGCTTGCAACACCTGACTGCTACCGGTCAGTCAGGAATCAATTTGGAGTGGGCAAATCTACTGTGGGGGCTGCTGTGATCCAAGTAGCCAATGAAATCGCTGACGTACTGTTATCAAGGGTAGTGACTCTGGGAAATGTGCAGGTCATAGTGGATGAATCATAGAATATCAGGGTTGGAAGGGACCTCAGGAGGTCATCTAGTCCAACCCCCTGCTCAAAGCAGGACCAATCCCCAGACAGATTTTTGCCCCAGATCCCTAAATGGCCCCCTCAAGGACTGAACTCACAACCCTGGGTTTAGCAGGTCAATGCTCAAACCACTGAGCTATCCCTCCCGCCGCATTGCTGCAATGGGGTTCCCTAACTGTAGTGGGGCGATAGACGGAATGCACATCCCCATCTTGGCACCAGACCACCTTGCCAACCAGTACATAAACCGCAAGGGGTTCTTCTCAATGGTGCTGCAAGCACTGGTGGATCACAAGGGAAGTTTCACCGACATCAACGTGGGATGGCCGGGAAAGGTGCATGACGCTCGCATCTTTAGGAACTCCGGGCTGTTCGAGCAGCTGCAAGAAGGGACTTACTTCCCAGACCAGAAAATTACCATTGGGGATGTTGAAATGCCAATAGTTACCCTTGGGGACCCAGCCTACTCCTTGCTCCCACGGCTCATGAAGCCTTACACCGGCAGCCTGGACAGTAGTAAGGAGCAGTTCAACTATAGGCTGAGCAAGTGCCGAATGGTGGTAGACTGTGCCTTTGGATGTTTAAAAGCCGCTGGCGCTGTTTGCTGACTAGGTCAGACCTCAGCGCAACCAACATTCCCATTGTTATTGCTGCTTGCTGTGTGCTCCATAATATCTGTGAGAGTAAGGGGGAGACGTTTATGACGGGGTGGGAGATTGAGGCAAATTGCCTGGCGTCCGATTATGAGCAGCCAGACACCAGGGCAATTAGAAGAGCACAGCTAGGCGCGCTGCGCATCAGAGAGGCTTTGAAAACCAGTTTCATGACTGGCCAGGCTTCAGTGTGACAGTTGTGTGTGTTTCTCCTTGATGCAAAATCGCCCCCTTTGTTGATTTTAATTCCCTGTAAGCCAACCACCCTCCCCCCATCGAAATAAAGTAGCTATTGTTTTGAAACCATGCATTCTTTCTTTAATAATTTTTTTTAAAAATTAGATAACGGACAAGATGGGGTGGGAGAGGAGGGAAGGACAAGGCCACATTGTTTATTGTAGCCACACTACAAATCAAACTGCTTGAATGACAATCTTCTGTTGCTTGGGCCATCCTCTGGAGTGGAGTGGCTGGGTGCCTGGAGCCTCCCCTCTCCCCGTGTTCTTGGGTGTCTGGGTGAGGAGGCTATGGAACATGGGGAGGAGGGTAGGCGGTTATAGAGTGGATGCAGCTGGGGTCTGTGCTCTTGTTGGCTTTCCTGCAGCTCCAACACATGCTTCATCATGTCCGTTTGCTACCCCAACAGACGCTTCAGCATGTCCATTTGCTCCCCCATTAGCCTCAGCATTGCATCCTGCCTCCGCTCTTCGCGCTCACTCAATTCTTTCCTGGCCTCTGCCGCTGAATGCCTTCGTGCATTGAGCTGTGCCCTATCAGTGTGGGAGGACTGCATCAGCTCGGAAAACATGTCATCGTGAGTGCATTTTTTTCGTCTTCTAATCTGCGATAACCGCAGAGACGGAGATGATAGGGGGAGCGTAGAAACATTTGCACCCGGGGGGAGATAAAAAGGGAGAGTAAAATTGGGTTGGCTTCTTACGCCTTCATAACGTGGGAATGTTTTCAAACTGCAGCGCCCCCCTTTCCCAGAGCAAGCAATGGGTTGGGTTTCACATTTAAAAGGAGGGGCTGCAGTATTCGGGTAGATGTGCAGCACACACCTACCCCCACCCCACAGCTATTCTCTGGGATGTTCCCTTCTCCCCACACCCCACCGTGTGGCTATTCTCCGGGATGATCCCTTTTCCCCTCCACCCGCCGCGTGGCTATTCTCCGGGATGATCCCTTTTAGCCAAGCGCAAACAGCCCAGCATGAACGGGGTCCTTTTACTGTTCCCTTACAAAAATTCCCCTATTTCAACCAGGTGACCATGAACACTATTGCTTTTAAACCCTGTACTGTAGTTACAAATGTGCACTCACCAGAGGTGCCTTCTCTGGCTTCCGGGTCGGGGATCCCGCCTTGGGAGGGTATTGGCTCCAGGGTGATGAAAAGTTCCTGGCTGCTGGGGAGAACGGATTCACCGCTTGCCTGCTGCGCATTCTCCTCCTTCTCTTCCTCATCTGCAAAATCCTCCTCCGTTGTCCGTGAGACTCCCCCCTTGCAGGTGTCCACGGACAGTGGTGGGATAGTGGTAGGGTCCCCCCCTAGAATGGCATGCAGCTGTTCACAGAAGCGGCATGTGTGGGGCTGTGACCCGGAGCAACCATTTGCCTCCTTTGTCTTTTGGTAGGCTTGCTGAGCTCCTTAACTTTCACGCAGCACTGCTGTGTATCCCTGGTGTAGCCTCTGTCCAACATGTCCTGTGAGATTTTGGCAAATATATTTGCATTTCTTCTTTTGGATCGGAGTTCTGCTTGCACAGATTCTTCTCCCCATATAGCAATCAGATCCAGTGTCTCCCTTTCGGTCCATGCTGGAGCTCGTTTGTGATTCTGCGACTGCATGGTCACCTGTGCTGCTGAGCTCGCCACGCTGACCAAACAGGAAATGAAATTCAAAAGTTCCCGCGGCTTTTCCTGTGTACCTGGCTAGTGAATCGGAGTTCAAAGTGCTGTCCAGAGCAGTCACAATGGAGCACTCTGGGATAGCTCCCGGAGGCCAATACTGTCAATTTGCATCCGCACTACCCCAAATTTGATCCAGCAAGGTCAATTTTAGCGCTACTCCCCTCGCCGGGGAGGAGTACAGAAGTCTATTTTAAGAGCCCTTTAGATCGACGGAACGGGGTTGGTTGTGTGGATGCGGTCATTTTTAAATCGACCTAACGTGGCTAAATTCGACTTAACCCCGAAGTGTAGACCACGCCTGAGTGTGTTGGAGATCAGGAACATGATCTTGAATTGGATCAGATAATCAATGGGGAGCCAATGTCTCAACATAAGGGTTATATAGTCCTGCTTAACAATGTTGCTTGGCAGGTAGGCGGTCATATTTTGGATCAAACTTGTGCTTTTAGTATTATTATTATTAATAATAATAATTTATTTGTTCTGTGGTTAGTGCCAGTATTTGAGGCCCCAATGTACATGTGATGTACAAACACACAGAGAAATCTCTGCCCCAAAGAATTTACAATCTACAAAGACAATGCAGACAAAAGGTGGGAGAAAGAATCCAAAAATACAGGCAATTTTGCCAGGGTGGTGATAGGCAAAAGTCCTGTTAATTCCAGTTTTATTTTCATTTTTTTGTTTGGTTATTTATGCTTATCCCTTTGCCTATTTTTTTTTAATTATGTGAACTCTTGAGTTTATTCTATATATATTTTGCATTTAGCCCTAGTCTTTCTATTTTTGTTTACAATTTACTCAAACATTTGAGTTTAACTCTTGCCTTTTTTCCCTTTTTATTACATTTAACCCTAGCCTTATTTGTTTTAAATTATTTTAAACCGTTTTTTGTTTATAATTTTATATATACACACACATACACACACACACAACCTCTCCCATTCAATTAAAATATTAATTTCTGCTGCATTTTTAATAACCTTTCTGCAGTATAGTCTTTTCTTGAATGGTGTCTGGATTGCCCAAACACATAAATAGTTCCTTGTACTTTCAGGGGTATTTTAACCTTAGTGCCATACATGAATCAGACAGTAGGTCAAATTTTAGATCATCATAAACAAGCCAAGTAATAACTGAGTTTGGCTCAGTCTGATTTTGGATAGGATTCCCAAAACACACAAAAAGAGAAATGCTATCTCTGGGTTTCACGGGGTTATGTGAATTTTAACTTGTCTGATACAAATTCCACATGGAAATATTATGAGGAAATACATATTTTTCTATAGCTATAAATAATTTTGGTTGAACTCTGAGCTCCAGTTTCAAATTTGGCCAAATTTTTACATGTAGGTCACTTGTATGTTAAACTCCCTTTGTAAGTCTAGAATAAAATATGCACACTACCTTAAGTAGCTCATTCTCTGAAGTGCACAAACACAGTTTTACTAAGGCCAAACATCACAAACACAGTTTTACTAAGGTCAAATATAAAATTCAGAATAAATTAGATTTGTCAACATATATCCATTGTTAGCTGTTAATATTGTACTGTTCGTGGTTTTATTTAGTGTTTTCTGCAATGCCACTCTTTTTATAAGAATAGGAACAATATGAACAAGGAAACAAAGTTAATTGCTGAAAGATGCTTTTGTTTATGAGGTCGAATCAACAGTCTTTACCAGATGAGGAAAGCATGGAAAGGAAGTCTTTTACTTTTGTTTGAATTAGAGCTGCCTAATAGAAACAAAAACACCCCTCCAAACAAATACAAGGTGAGGAACCTGATGAAACAATACCTAAAGCTGTATTTAATGCTGACATAGCTTATGGCAATTAACGTATCATGTCTCCGAGATATAATTACAAGAAGAAAAACCCTCAATACAAGATATTTGACTAAACATGCAATAACAATCATTACTTACTGAATAAGCGCTGCTCTCTCAAAGTACTGAATGGCTTTTTCACAAAACTGGGTATCAATGTAATAGGCTCCAAGCCATTCAATGACCTCAATGTTCGAAGGGAAATACCGATATGACTGACAAAATAAGGAAGGTGAAAGAAACATAATTTTAGTGATAAACAACATCTTTATTTTACTTCTGGAATATCTTACTCACTTAAGTGTTTAATTCTCCAGATGCCAAAAATATGTAATACATGAATGAAAGCACTGTACTATACCAACTAATCCCTAAAGAGAACTTGTCAGGTTTTGTAATTACAAAATACTTTTTAGAAGAGTTACCTGAGATGAGTTTCACATTTTCCATCAATCCTTACTAGAATTATTATTTTAGCATAGTTAGCAGCAGCAAAAGAGTATTTTTCCACACAAAAGAGTTTGCTTTCTTAGATTACTACTGTATGTAAATAAGTTAATTAAAAGGCTAAGCAAGTTGTTTCTATAACAAATTACACTAATCAGTTTCAGATAGCCAAGTAGTCTGCTGGAAAACTCACTGAAAAACTTTTTTTACTATAAAAGTTTTCATTTATGTTTGTACAAATAAAATTAGTGACTTTCATTAAAAATAGCCATTTCTGAGAAAAATACTGGGCCAAATTAATCCCCAAAATAACATAGTTCCACTGACTTTCAGAATTACATCAGCGACGGTTGTGGCCCAACCTGAGGACTGCATGACATATGAGAGATGGGTTGATAGTCTCATTCCTGTTCCTAAGGGAAAGACATCTGCCTACATCACTCAAAATACCCTCTCAATTGGCACTTTTGTGGGCAGTCTCAGAAAAGATACCGAGGAAAAAAGTAAGCATGGTGAGTGAACTACTACTATGTCACCTGTATAGCTGGCCCCTTTCAGAACAGGAGTGAGACACCCAGTCAGAATAGCGCAAAGAAGCTAGTGCGGAGTGCCCTTGCTTTACATGTTCTGTGGATAAAGAGGCCAATCTACAGAGCTGTCAGTCCTACACTTGGACAAGCAATAAACTAACACTAAACATCTGAAAAAGAGAGTCAAGTGTATGCACATATCCACTTTATTTCAGTGGAATACTTCTAATCTGTTTTTAATTAATCTTGGGATTAATGCCATATAAATAAGCAAAACTTTTGTATTGACTATAGATTTTAGTTTTACTGATGGGGGAGCGGGTCTTGGGTATTATAAATAGGACTAATCTCTGGATTTACTAGAAACAAAATTTGTTACAAGTGTTCTATTGACATCAAGTGGAAATTTCCTATAAACTCTGTACAAAATGTTAACAATTCCAAGGGAATTAATACTAAGGGAACAATGCTAATAAATCTGGAAGTGTACATTTTATATATATACCTCTACCCCGATATAACGCGACCCGATATAACACGAATTTGGATATAACATGGTAAAGCAGTGCTCTGGGGGGGGAAGGGGGCGGGGCTGCGCACTCCAGCGGATCAAAGCAAGTTCGATGTAACGCGGTTTCACTATAACGTGGTAAGATTTTTTGGCTCCTGAGGACAGCGTTATATCAGGGTACAGGTGTGTGTGTGTGTGTGTGTGTGTGTGTGTGTGTGTGTGTGTGTGTGAGAGAGAGAGAGAGAGAGAGAGAGAGAGAGAGACACCAGGTGGTCTGGGTTAAAATTGGCACCAGTAAGTAGAAAACCTGGGGTTTGGAAAAAAGGCAAATTTAAACTAGACCCAAAA